GGGAGGAGATACAAAAGAAAAAGAAAAGGGAGGAGATACAAAAGAAAGAGGGAGGAGATACAAAAGAAAAAGGAGATCTGGAACCAAACAAAAGCAAATCTGTTTATGCACAAACTCTACATTATGCAAAATGTTTCTTGCACCATTTTAAAACTGCATTATCATACAAGCCTCAATACAGTCACCAAACGATTAGCTTTCCTGCAGACTAGACCCAATAGGACCCCAAGTTGAGACGCTGCAATGAACAGCATTAATACAGCTATGACATACTAGTCCTTATCGAACCAGCGTGAAAGGTAGAAGGCTGTTAATAGTATACCTCAGTAAGATGCTGGCTCAGCTTGCACTATTAGAAGCTACTGCAAGAAATAGAGAAGGAAAACATCCTCAGTGTCAGCCAACACTTCACTTTGGCTCTCTTAATTGTCAATGAAATTACCAGTCTTTTTCAGGATTGGGGAATTGAAAGATTTACCATAAGACAAGGACTGGAATTTGAAGTAAAATTCCTAATAACACTTTTCACTGGTTACGAAAGCAGACTTGAAATTCAAAGAAAACAAATCCTCTTACAATTGTTCAAACTCTTGAGTGCAGACATGTCAAGCATTATTAATCTATACTCTTTCCACTCAAACAGCCTCTCCACCTTTAAGGTGCCACTTAAAGCCTCTCTCTCGCTTGTTCTAATACATCGCATGCAGCTTGGTATCAAATTTTCCAGATAATGTCACTATGAAATGCCTTGTCACCTTTAGCTGTGCTAAAGGAACTATATAAATGCAAGTTGTTATTTCTGTCTGTTATCATAATCTTCTTGAAAACCTCCTAAAAAAGAAAGATGCTGATGAAGGAAGTGATGATGAAAATTTAATTTCAATGATAGATTCTACACCTTGCTATTCTACACGGAAAGCATTTGTAAAATTAGCCAAGAACAGCCAAAACTGTCACACATTTCAGTTACTCACATGTAGATGGTAGAACAATTTCAATATGTGCTTTTTGACAGTGCAGTCATATCACAGTTTGCTTTTCAAACTCATACCATGCATCTCCTGTCCTAGTATCATTTAATTTCATTGGGAGTCAGCCCTCCTATTCCTATGATGAAACAGGAAAACTTGGGAGTCTTCCTATCTAAATGGCAAAGACCTGCCTCAAGTTAGAATGGTTGTCTAGTATTACTTCAACCAAAACTGCTGGCACTTGCTGATCCTGGTGCCACAACACTGCCCAGTGGTGAAAGTGAGAGGAATGACGACCATTAAAGATGGCCTGACACTTTGGTTTACATCCCACTCAAATACAGTGACCAGTCCCTTATATGACAACCATTTCATTCTTAGCGATAGCAACCCATAATTGCTTGTCTAAGAACATGAATTCCTGTAACTCCTTTGCTTTACGGGATACTCGGGGAATGCAGCATTCACTTATTCATCCATCAAGGCTGTAAAGTATATCAGCACCAGCTTAGCCAGAGTAGGCTGCACCTAAGATCCAGATCATACATTATTCACTACTAATGAAGTAAATCAATATGCTCTCCCACTACTTGTGCATATTTGTTTCCTTTAATCGCTACCTTTGAAGATGTCTGTTTAATTAGTTGAAGGATTTTTCTATAGACAGCAGTTTTGTTCACTGATCAGGAGGAAAAGAAGTCTTCACAATCTACTTGTCTGCAGACACCATTAATTTCAGCTCACTTGGCCCTTGGCATCTTTGATCACACTGATCAGTATCTACTTCCGCAACCCAATGCCTTCACAAGGAAAATGCTCAGCTGGATTTGTACATACAAAAAAATAGAGTTAACTATTTCTACTTGGCAACTGAGCTCCGGACAAGCTCCTCCCAATGTGATGTCAGCAGGGCAGATACGCTTCACTCCCTCTTGAATTAAATGCTTGTTTTCTGGACTTTTCTAAAGAGCTGTTTGAGAAAGAATAAAAGGGGGAAGGAATATTGTCGGTACTTCATGTTGAACATATCATTTTTCCTCCTCTCCACTTTGCTGTTTCACATTAGTTGATTTGCGCATTTAAATCTTCCACACAATTTAAAAGGAACAGTGAAAATTGTATCGTCTTTGCATTTTTTTTGCATCTTCTATACATTGTAAAAAGATTTCCAGCTTAACTTTAAAATGGAAAAGGAGCACTTCAACTCTCCGTCTTGTTCAACCATAGGAGAAAAGGGTTCAAGCTGTTGCTTGGACTGTGCCATTAGCTGCTACTGCAGTTTTCTGGGTATTAGTTATGGAAGAAGTGCTACAAGCTTGAAGGTTAATAATAATATACTTTTTTAAAAAAAAAGTTAAGCACCATAAAGCCACGCACTGTATGAACTAACCTGTGGCAAGGTGGGGTTGGTGATGGCGGTGAAAGCCAGCAATAAAACTCTAGCCTAGTTTCAAAAATTTATTACCAAAACCTCTGGCTTCTGGTGAACAAACAATTTTATTTTTCTCAGATTAAATGGGATTCAGTGATTTGCTTTTTAAAACCTACATTCTGGCAACCTTGTCCAATTTGTTTTTGCAGTAACTTTCTTCATCAATATCTCACCACTCCTCAAACTGCTACAGCCTCATGTCCTGCCTGGGAGAAACTCCAGTTGCCTCCCATTTCCCTGGTTGCAAAAAATATGAAATTTACTTGCTCAGAAATAAATACGGAACATTGCTTCCTCTCAGTCAAATGAGACAGGCAAGTTACAGTGGCCAGAGATTTATGCCAGGAACGCAACAATTATGCAACTTTACAGGCTACCTGAAAGAAGTGAGGTCCTATTAGTAAAATATTTTTCAGTAGACACAGAAGTTGAGAGATACCTTTGAGGTTATGAAAGATGTGACAGAAACGATATTTACATTTGTGGGGGCTGGGGTCTAAAATTAGGGACTGTACTACAAGGTAACAACAATGGGAAATTCAGAGGGAACTTTTTTTTTTAAAAAATTGAGACTGGGTAGAACATGGAGCTCCCTAGATTTGTTACGATACATGCATTTAAGGGGAAGCCAGATAGTTACACTTGACAGAAAGGAATGGAGGATATGATTATCAAGTGATATGTAGAAGGACATATAAACAGAGGTAATGACCTATTAGGCCAAATAGCCTGTTTATGTACAAATTTAATGTCATTTGCTTACAAACATTCACATTTTCTGTTTAGGGTCACATATATGTCAAAAGAATGAGACAACGTCACAAATCAGAGAACAACTGATGACCGGCAGTTATGGGCCCCTACGTGCAGTGAGGACACTGGACTGTCATACGTGGGTACTTACTGGAGCTGACTGAACTAGATATGGGGCTGGCAGACCCTGGTACTCAAGACACCCCCATCAGGCATGCATTCCTTTCACAAGCTCACAGCCTTCTTTGCTATCCACCACAGCCAACATTCAACAAAAGAAAAGAACCCCAAAACTTTAAAAAAGAAAAAAAAATATACTGCAGTTTAAAACTCAGTAGCTTCTGTGGAAACTGCTCTCACTGTGTAGAGTGGTGGTACATTTTTATTACAGGCTTATTACACAGTAAGAGCCCTTGATCTGAGGTAATACTGTCATCTTCAAGATGATAAGTTTTGGACTGATGGATTCATCAATTTAAGGCCTTCGATCTGAATTTTGACTTTTTTCATAACAGATGCTGCCTGGCTGCTGTGTGTTACTTTTTTTTTGCTTTTATTTCAGATTTCCAGCCTTCTTAGAATCTTGCTTTCAGACACAGTAATGGTGTGGAGAGTGCAGGCTTGCAGCAAAGTGATGCACATATATGTATACATCACAGGTCAAGCTGCCTAGACCCTGAGCTCTGGAAATTCCTGCCCTGAATCTTTCCACCTACCTATCCTCCTTTAAAACTCTCCTTGAAAACCAAGTTATTGACCAAACTTTTTGATCACCTGTTCCAATATCACCGATGGTTTAATGTTGGTGAGCCAGTGAAATGCCTTGTGAGTTTTTACTTCATTAAAAATGTGCTTAAAAAAGAAGTAATTTGTCATCTTTACCAGCCAGCGAGGAAATTATGTAGATAATGTCCCAAAAATACATCGAGGATAAGTTGGGTTTGAGGTGAGGGAAGGAAGGAGTTGGAATTGTGAGGAGGATGAGAGGTGAGTTATGGCAAAAGAGAAATCTATTCCACTTTAAAGTCTGCATCACACAGAAATATGTGCGAATACATGCTGGTTAAGTCCTTCCTATGCCTGAAAGACAGCTTTACTCCTGGAGAGCTTTGATGTTTGCTAACTTGCACAGTGCACATGGTCAGTTATTCGCTCCTGTTCTGACACTATTTACTCTCACACTCGGCTTCTGTTGTCTCAGCCTACCTGTAGGGTCCACGCAACATGATTTCAATTTGCTTTGGATATTGTTTCATTGAATTAGGACAAATTAAAATAAAAGCTTGAGGAACTTCTCAGTTACAGGCCTACACAGTAAGCATAAAAAATCTCCACACTGCAGGTTGCACACTGCTGTGTCAGTGTAGTGTCAAAACAATTTTTTCCTTCCTTCTCCTAAAAGGGCCTTGTAGCCAAGCAGGCAACATTTAATGTTAATTTCTTAAGTGTACTCTTCAGGTGAGGAGCTGCGACTTGGGATTCAGCTGCAGAAAGATTCCGTCACCCAACTGGAAGACTCTGTCTCTGCTGGTGCAATACACGCCGATGGGATAGTCTCCTTCCTAGGAGAGGATGGCATTAGAACGACTAATTCCTATCAAATTGCCAGCGCTGAGTGACCGCCTTATAGTGGCTTTGCTCATGTCTTTGTATTTGTCCTCGCACAACCTGGAGATTGCCTGGAGGAGTGAAAAGAAAGGAATTATTGTCCGGTCCTTTTTTTTTTTTGCTAACTTCATCTGTTATTCTCCCCCTTTCACCAATCCACATTTTTAAGATTCCTCCTTCTTCCAAACCTCCCAATGCCATGTAATATCTGTCACCCAAGAACGCATGCCAGCTAAAACAGCCACAGTCCTGTCAATGGAATAATTTGTTGGTTACCAACACATTTATTCACTGTTTGGAGGTATGGTCAAACCTGGAAATTTTTGGACAACCGGATATTCCAACCTGGGTTATAAGAGTCAAGACAACAATATAGAGAATGTGGCAAGATGACTTCACAATGCTTCCCCTCCAGGCCATCTTCCCTTAAGGTACAGCTTCCAAGCCAGATACTTTTCTATACCAAGTAGTTTCTCCATGTGAATTGAAGAGAAAGGAATAAGACACACAACAATGGGTATCAGTGTGGCAGTGACGTGCATCTTTTGGTACTAAGTTAGAAACCGAGGACCATGCAACCCCTCAAGCCAGTTTCATCATCAAATTAGATCACTGCCGATCTTAACATAATTCACCCATCCTGGTTCTGTAACTGTTGATGCCCTTACCTAATTGAAACAGTTTTGCAAATGTTCAGTTGTCCCCTGCATCAAGGTCAGTTTTTCTGAAAGAAGAGTTGTGGATTTCCATTCTGTTGTTTGAGAAATTCTTCCAGATCTCATCTCTAAAAGGCTCAGCTCTAATTTCAAGGATATTCTGCCCTTAATCTGCACTCCCCAACCAGGGGAAATAATTTCCTACTCTTTACTCTAAGAACTCCTTTAATCATTGTTAACATGTCAAATATTTGTATCGCAACATGTTTCAATTGACTTACGAATGTTATTTCTTACATTATGCACTACTACCAATAATAAAAACATAGCTCAAAATCCTATAGACTCCATAACATCCTTAATGTCCAAACCTTATGAACAATCAAATCATTCATTTTCCACAGCGCACACAATATACCAAGAGCACTTTTGCATCAATCTGTATTCCCTTCTTTAACCAATATTACTCTAAGGATAGTATTTTTTTCCCACTTGAATGTGTTTATGAATTTTGAAGTCTGAGAAAGTTAAATTAGTTTAGTGAGTAGATTAGTGAGCAAAGTAGAATGGTGGAATGGGATCTGCTGCAAATTTGAATATGCAGTGTGCAATGTATGAGGCCAGGCAGGACACTGTGGGGGCCACTAGGAGCATGTTGTCCTTGAGGAAGTTAGGGGGATATTGCATTTGGTAAACTGTGAACATCACTTAGTAGAGGACAGGGGTATAATGCCATCATGGCCAGGAGAGAGGGTATGACACAAGTGTGACTTAAATTAGGAGCAGTGCAACATCATGCATATGCTCCCATTATTTACTGTCAGTCACAGACTTTGTGGTGGTGAGCACGTTGGCACAAGTGATTCCATTAGTAGACCCCACACTGTCCTGCCTGGCCTTGCACATTGCACTCTGCATATTCAAACTTGCACCAGACCCCATTCCATCATCTTTCTTTGCTCACTAATCTACACACTAACCTAATTTAACTGTTTCCCAGCCTTCAAAATTGATAGGTTTTGGGGCTTGAGTGCATAGTGTCAGTAAATGGCAATTTTCAAACAGCAGTGGGTTCTCCCAGTTGTGACCAATTTAATCTTCAATCAAAATCTCAAACAGAAAAGAGTATCCAATAAATTATCTCATGGTAGTTCATGCAATATTGCTGTGTGGAATTTGGGTGCTGCATTGTCCAACATTTTCAGCAAGGTTATTCAGAAGTATTTATTTGATTGGACCATTCGGTGATTGCGAAAGGCATTGTATAAATACAAGTGTGTTTGTTCTTTCTCACGGCCGTTACCTCTAGTTTCTGTGCTCGTTCTTTGCTGAGTGGCTCCAAGGGAAAATTCATATTGTTGTCATCTGCCAGAGAGCGCAGATCGAAGTAATATTTGGCATAAACACTAGCAGGAACATTAATGTTAAACTGTAGCAGCTCTAGGAACTGTCTCTCCATCTCATTCCTGTTGGGAAAGAAAGCAACAATGACAGTCTTTCAAGAAAGAAAATATACCCGATTGATAGAAATGGAAGATAATTGATGAAAAAGCTGAACCACAAGTGTAATTGGCTTCAACAGACCAGAAACCTTGGAACAAGCAGAAAAAATAGCCGCGGCCAACAGCCAGACCATTGTGTTGTATCTTATGAGCCATTGCAACTCTCAACATTGTTTGTGAATCTATTTGCACATTTTCATGCTCTAGATGCATCTAGCTTCAAAGATATCTGCTCTCTCTAGTCAAATAGCCTGTTGATGCTCACCACCTATTACTTCCAATGGAAAAACCACCACTAGAGCATGGTACTAGAAGATAATTTCTCTCTGTGGAATTGTCCTGGCACAAATCCCCACCTTTGGGAAAAGAAGGGAGAATAGAGAATTTGCTTTGTCTACCTGATAATGCTGAACAAACAATAAATTTATATTTCAACTGGAGCCTCCCCTACCTGCAACTGCAGATCCTCTTACCAGTCATCGACACATTATTGGAACAACCATCATCTAACCAGAGATGGTAAGTTTAAAACAAGAGCTCGGTTAGGAAACACACCCTTAGATAAAGGGCTGAGGAAGTCTAGAACTTGACACACCCACATGCCCAAAGCTGTGGTGGTTAAAGGAGAGGATCAGCCAATAAACACTAGTGACTTTGTTAGGTAAGAGTGGAGGATCATGGAATCAAAGCAAATAAATAAAGTCAAGATACAGATCAGCCATAATCTGACTGGCAGACTCGAGGAACTGAATGTTCTACTCCTGTTCCTAATGGGAACACAAGTTGTCAGATCCAATTATTAAACTATACGTACTCTCACACTATAGCTTTCCTATCGTTTCAGTTTCACTCTCAAGGGAGCCAACTAAATCTGCAAACAATGAAACCTACAAATGTACCTTTGGTTTTAAGGCACATCTTCAACTTGCAAACCTGTGGGGTTAGCTGATACATTTGCACTCCAGGCTTATGAATTACAAAGTTGCACTCGGCGAATACACAAAGACCGAATTCGATCATGCAAAGTTGACATAAGCAAGCAACAGATACTTGCCATTCATTTAACAAACTGAAGCACAGATGTAAACAGACCTTAGAAGTTGAAATGTGAAGCTGGTTTGCTTTAAGTAAAAAAAGAACCCAAAAGAACTGCAGATGTTGGAAATCCGAAACAAAAACAGAAGTTGTTGGAAAAACTCAGGTCCGGCAGAATCCGTGGACAGAAATCGGAGTTAACGTTTCGGGTCTGGTGACTCTTCTTCAGAACTGATGGTAGCTAGGAAAAAGTCTATTCTTGGCGAGTTTGCATCACCAGATTTAGATAGGAGTACCTTTGTAATTATAATTACTGCATATACAAGGTCTGAAGTAACATGACATCAACAGGGCATTCTCGATGTCAAACTTCATAATGGAATACATTGCCCATAAATAGAATTAACAAAATAAAAATATTGAGTGTGTGCATGTGTTGTGGGGTATGGGGGTAGGGGGGGGGGGGGGGTAGAAGGGGGGGAGCATGAAAGGGGTTCAGTCCTCTTTCTTTCTGAACTCTAGCATCTCTACAACAGATGAAAAGGATTCATATGTTATGCATTATCAACAAATGACTCAGAGCCACTTTCACCAGGATGATAACAGAGAGAGATTTACTGCGGAGGTAACAAACAGACACAAAGGCCTCGGGCAGTCGCCACGGCAACAAATGGACTCTCAGAATGTTGCTGTTATCATGTCAGAGGATGAGGGCCCTTGAACCTGCAGAGGCGCATTATAGAAAGGCTTTTAACAGGAAACTGCTCTTCGTTATGCAACAGGCTAATACATAGGTAGCATATACTAGGAGTGCTGCACTTTGCTGCCCTTGACATTCTACAGCCATAGAAGCTGTGCGTTTCTCGATGAGCTTTATTTAATAATTATCTTAAAATGAATCACAACGTCCACTTACTCTCATCTTTTACGAGCTTCCATTTTGAGCAAGACTGAACAAAGACACTAATGTGAAAGACAGCCTCAACCTTCTTTTTAATTCACTTGTCATTCACTCCAACAATCACAACAAAGGTCTTAAGAGGAAGCATCTAAAAAGTGTAGCAAGGAAATAAGGCTGCAGCATCTCACGAAAATTTGCAGCAAGTTTCCCTCTCTGTGCGACCTGTGAATGTTCCTGAGAGCAGTCGGGATCATTCATCCAATTTGTTTCCAGAGCATTGAAATCATTCAGTACCTCTAAACAGTGTGCTGATTTTAGTAAATAAGTGACAAATGCATAGCTTAGTGCCTAATAGATCACCATCTCACACAATTAAGCCTAAAGGGTGTCATTTAGTAAATTCTAGGGTTTAAAAACTTTTAAAAGGGTAAGTGAAAGACAGAAAAAAACCCTATTTAGCAGCGTATAAAACATTTTTGTTTACAAAGTATCCGACTGCTTTGAATTGGAATGCACTGTTTGAAAGTGGCGGAAGCAGATTCTAATAGGAATTGGACAGATAATTGAGAAGGAAATGTCAGTAAGCCTATTCTCCCCTATATGATTCTATTCAACTATAAGCAGAAGTTTTAACATGTTTCTGCAGAACTCCCTTCAGTACAACATCAAACCATTTTCTACTTTTATTGGGTATGCGAGGAGTTCTAGGTTTTGTAAAGCAAACTTCAAATTGTGGGCAGGTTAACAAATGCCAACTCGAATACTTACATATCCTCGACCGTCATGTCTTTCAGGATCTGGCAATAGTCCACGTTCCAGACAGCCTGATCATCCCAGACCTTAGAAGCAAGCAGGATGGCTCCCAGCACGATCCGTTTCCAGTTACTAGGACAGATATCTATCTCAGCATATGTCAGCAACCTTTCTAGGTATACCTGAAAGAAGCATTGTTCAATCAGTTATTACTGCATTTATAAACAAAATTGAAAGCAAAAAATTTACTGTGTGTAAACAAATGCCAAAAATGTTCAGATAGCTCATTCATGGGGTAGGGTGTGTGGGACTGCCAAAACAGCCATAAATAAGGGCAGTGCAGCACACAAAGCGGGCAGGCACTGTTCAAATTCCAAGACTGACTCAGAGTAGAAGCCAAGCATGTTCTTGAAGCAAGGGTCATTCAGGCTATCCTACATAGATGTGGCGCTCAAGCACGACTGCACTACACCTTGAAGTAGGAGAATCTAGGACTGTGCCCACAAATGCCCATTTGGTTTCAATTTCACTGCCCAAAAGTGGTGCGAACTAGAGTAAGAACAGAGATCAAGACAAACTGGTCTGCTCTTGTAGGTTTCTTGGCATTACAACTGCAGTAGCTAAGGAGTGGTAAGCCTGTTTGGTTGGGTAGTGGTGCATGTTGACCTAAAAGAGTAAAATAATGGAAAGAAAACAATTAAAACAAAAGCCACGTCAATGTGTAACTCTGACGATTTTGTTACGGAATGAATGTGGATTTGAAGCTGTGATTCACAACAAACCAACTTCCTTTCACTTCACCATCCATGGGTAGCAAGACAAGATCACATACTTCCCCACTACAGGGGAAAGAGAGGACAGAGTTAAAATTTACACACTTGCAGCAGCTTCAAGCATTGGAGGGAGATTGTCAACTAGCTTTCTCGGTCTGTGTTCCTATTTCTCAACATGGAACAAGATAAATAAGAAAAAACATACACTTCAAAACAAAGGCAGTAGGTCACCCGAAACCAATTAGCTTCTCTCAGTAGTTAGTTTCATTGTTGGAATAGCAGAGGACTGGAAACAAATCAACACTTAATTTTTTAGTTCAGGATAATGCAGTACAAAAAGAAAGATCAAACAGACATCTATACATTAGATTATACCTTCAATTCCCCACCCCTTGTGCAGTTTGTTGGCTTTCCTGCCAAAAGAGACCACCCATCGGAATAAGGTCCTGTGTGAATCAGCGAATTTATTCTACCTTGTCTACATGATCTTTGTTCAAGTAGAAATGTAGAGGCTCCAGAGAGCCAGCACTCACGAGCTTACTGCTTGCTGAGAACAGTGTAAAAGTGGCAGACGTGCATTCACGAGCTCTTTCGAGGACAGTTCACTTAATTGCATTCAGAAGCATGAATGCTAAATAACTACTGCCTCCCAAAACTGGGATATGAACAATGAATTCTGATGCACCAAAAGAGATCACCTGAACCAACAGAGACCAAGAATTAAACATCTTCGTCACATCATTTTGAAGGTGAAAACAATGAGAAGGCACAGTTAGACATGGAGAAAAAGTGAGAGAAAAAAATAAGAGGAGTACATGAAGGACAAATAATCTTGTGAAGCTCAACCTACCAATCACTGAGCGAATTCTACTCACTATTTGAAGGTTTATGAATCACAAAATCAGCTCCTTTGCTAACACTTTTATCCATATAGTACAATGTTATGAAGAAATATGCTAATAGCAATATTTTTAAAGCACCATTGGCTCTGAGTGGAGTCCAAATAATACTGTATTGGTGTGTCAGACCTACAGTTACAAGAATACAAGAGGCAGAAGGAGTAGACCATTAAGCCCGTCAAATCTTCTCACCCGTTTCATACATTCATGGATGATCTTAGGCTTCAACTTCACTTCCCCATCAGACCACTTCCCATACTCCTCAACCCCCTGGGACACAAAACATTTATCTATTTCAGCCTGAAACAGAGAGTCAACGATGAGAGCATCCACAGCCCACTGGAGGTAGAGAATTCCAAAAATTCACAACTGTTTTGAGTAAAGAAATGTCTCATCTCAGTCTTAAATGACCAGTCCCTTATCATCAGACTGTGCGCCCACGTTCTTAACTCTCCAGCCAGGGAAAATAAACTATCTACCTTGTTAAGACCCTTCAGAATCATGCACGTTTCAATGAGGTCACCTGTCATTTCCCAAAGCTCCAGAGAATCTACGGTCAATACATTCAGCCTGTCATCAGAAGAAGCGGGAGCAGAGATAGGCAATTTGGGGCCTTAGGCCTGCCCCTATATCTATCCTAGGCCTCAACTGTTCTTTTGCACCAGCTCATCAAAACCATCAATATTTTAAAAATCCACCTTCTCTTTAAATGCGTTCAGTGATCGAGCCTCCACAACTCTGTGGTACAGAATTTCAGACATTTAGTACCATCTGGGAGAAGAAATTCCATTGCACCTCAGTTTTGAAAGAGTGCCTTCTTATTCTACAACTATGGCCCCTAGTTTGAGGTGGCCCAAATAACTAGTGAAAAAATCTTCTCAACATCTAACGTGTCCAGCCCTCTCAGAATTTGAGATAACAAGGTGTAGAGCTGGATGAACACAGCAGGCCAAGCAGCATCATAGGAGCAGGAAGGCTGACCTTTCGGGCCTAGGCCCTTCATCAGAAAAATGAAGGAGGGTCTAGGCCCGAAACGTCAGCCTTCCTGCTCCTATGATGCTGCTTGGCCTGCTGTGTTCATCCAGCTCTACACCTTGTTATCTCAGATTTTCCAGCATCTGCAGTTCCTACTAACCCTCTCAGAATTTTGTATGTTTCAAGAAGATCACTCCTTATTCTTCTAAGCTCTAGTGATTAAAGGCCTAATCAGTTGAACTACTCTTGATGAATCCAACCCTTCATCCCAGGAATCAGCCTGGTGAATCTCTTCTAAACTGCCTCCAGTACCGGTACATATTTTTTAAAAATACCGGAACCAAAATTGTACACCGTACTCCATGTGCAGCCTCACCAGCACCCTGTGCAGTTGTAAGCAAGACTTTTCTACTTTTAAAGTGGGCAGCCCTAAAACTAAAGGCCAAAATTCCACTGGCCTTCTTAATTACTTGCTGCATCTGCATGTAAAATTTATGTGCTTCATGCTCAAGAGCACTTAAATCCCTTTGCATGGCACTTTTAATTAAAAAATTAATCATTAGTCTGCCTTTCAATTCTTCCTATCAAATTGCATTACCACAAGCTTTCCTACGTTAAATTCCACCGACTAAATTTTTACTCACTTAATCTATCTCTATGCCTCGTAGATCCCTTATATCCTCATCATCACATGCCCTGCCACTTATTTTTACATCATCAACAAATTTGGATACATTACACTCTACCCCTTTCTGCAAGATTGTAAATAATTGAGGCCCTAGGACAGAGTCTCATTATGACTTTTCGACCTGAAACAGACCATTCATCCCGACTGTCTATCTTCTATATGTTAGCAAATTCTCAATCCAGTTAGTACATTACCCCTAATACCTTGAGCTCCTATCTTGTGCAATGACCTTGTGTGAGACACTTTACCTTGTACCTTCTGGAAATATCATAGGACACATCAGTGATCAATCTTCTACTGCAGATGCTGCTCACAATGTGGTCTCCTCTACAGTGGGGAAACGAAGCATAGATTGGGTGACCACTTCGCAGAACACCTACGTTCTGTCCACAAACAAAACAGTGAGCTTCCAGTTGCCTGCCACTTTAACACACCACCCTGTTCCCTGGCCAACATCTGTCTCAGGCTTGCTGCAGTGCTCCGACAAAGCTCAGCTCAGCGCAAGCTGGAAGAACAGCCCCTCATTTTCTGCTTGGGGGAACCAGCAGCCTTCTGGACTCAATATCAAATTCAATAACTTTATGGCTTGTGCTCTTCCCTGTCCTTCCCCCAATCCCCACACACCAGGCCTTTTTAATCACATAGTCTGCTATTACACACAACCCTATTGTTAGCCACTAACAGTCTCCATTAACAGTTATTCGTCCTCCTAGCCAGATCATTATCCACTTCTTTGTCTGTCCAACTGTTCTTCTTTCTCTTTGTGCCCTATCCCCACCTATCGTTTACTCCTTACCCCTGTGACCTCAACCTAGCTTCTGCATATAAACTGACATTTTCCTAGCCACCATCAGTTCCGAGTAAGGGTAACTTGACCTTAAAGGTTAACTCTAATTTCTCTCCACAGATGCTGCCAGACCCGCTGTGCTTTTCCAGCAATTTCTGTCTTTGTTACGAATCTTTACTGGACTGCTTCCAATGCAAGTATATCATTTCTCAACTATGGAGACCAAAACTGCACACACTACTCCAGGTGTGGTCTCACTAAAGCCCTGCACAATTGTAGAAAAACTCTCTCATTCATTTATTCCCATACACCTTGAGATAAAAGTCAATATGTCATTTGCCTTTCTAATAAGAAAATGTCCCAAACTCTACGAGCCCTTATCTAGCCTATCAACCTTTTGTGTACCACCTCATCATATGCCTTTTGGAAATCCAGGTAAAATGCATCTACTAGTTACACGTACAAAAAAACTATGAATAAATGTTCTCTTCCGTAAAATCATATTGACTGTGGCTGATCATGCTATGATTTTCTAAGTGCATTGTTAAGACATCTTTAATAATAAATTCCAGCAACTTTCATGACAGTGATGTCAGACTAACTGGCCCTATTTCCCTATTTTCTCTCAACTTGTGTGACATTCAAATTTCTTGGAGCCACTTCAGAATCCAAGGAATTCTGGAAAATCATAGACAGTACTTCCATTTTGTCAGCAACTGTCTGTTTTGGAACGTGTGATTGTAGGACATCTGATCCTGGGGACTATTCATATTTTAATTCATGGTGTTTCATCAGATTTTTCCTCCCTGCTGTTATTAGTTTTCTTACCCTAAATGCAAAAAATACTTGGACAATATCAAGGCTTGGACTGAAAAGCAGTAAGTAACATTCATGCCACATAAATGCCAGGTAACGACCATCTTCAACAAGAGATATTCTAACCAACGGCACATGGCAGTCAATGGTGTTAATTTTTGTGAATCCCCACTATCAACATCCTGGAGGGTTACCGTTGATCAAATACTGAACTGGACTAGCCATATAAATGCTGGACAGAAGTCAGAGCCTCGGAATCCTGCAATGAGTAACCCACCTGCTCTTTCCCTGAAGCCTGTTCGCCATCTACAAGACACAGGTTAGGAGTCTAACAGAATACTCCTCGCTTGTCTGGATGAATGCAGCTCCAACAACACTCAAGAAGTTTAGCATCATGCAAGACAAAGCAGCCCGCTTGATTGGCATTACATCCACAAATATTCAGTCACTCCAACCCGACGCTCAGTAGCAGCAGTGTATACTACCTACAAGATGCAGTGCAGAAATTCACCAAAGCTCCTCAGACAACACCTTCCAAACCCATGAACACCTCCATCTAGAAGAGTAGCAGATGGAGAGGAACACTAGTACCTGCAAGTTCCCCTTCCAAGCCACTCACCATCTTGACTTGGAAATATATCGCCATTCTTTCACTGTCGCTTGATCATAATCTTGGAATTCCCCTCCCCAATGACACTGTGAATCTACCTACAGCACACGGACTGCGGTGGTACAAGAAGACAGCTCACCAGCACCTTCTCAAGGGCAACTAGGGACAGGTAATAAATACTGGCTGGCCAGTGACACTCACATTTGAGTGACTGAAAATATCACTGTCCACGTATCCAAGGGACCAATGTTTACTTTAGCTACTCTCTTCCTTTTTATACACTTGTATACAATGTTTTTTCTATAAACCTAATAATTTTTTCTCACATTCTCATTAAAAACCAAAGCTAGAAGAGATTGGATAATCCTAGTCTAATTTGCTTTTTTCGTAAACAAATGAAAATTGCAAAAAAACATTTTAAATTAGAAAGGGAGAGACAGCTGACAAAAATATCTGTACTCTCTCATAACAGGGTCCAGAATGTGTAATAGTGTTAGGAGATAATATAAAAGGTAGCTGTTTAATTGTTGTACAGAAAGGAACAGGCAATATAATTCCATCTGAAAATCTCTTGCCAGCACTCCATTCTTGTAGTCTTTCATGTTTGCCTTGGTGTATAACCTAGGTTACATGGGTTTTGTGTGCTAGGTCAGTCTCTGGTATAATTCAAAGCATGTACATCAGTCACAGAATCAGTATAGTATAGCACATGAAGAGGCCATTTGGTCCATCAAGTCTACACTGGCTCTTTCAAACAGCAATCTAGGTTATTCCAATTCCTGTTTTCCAAATTCCCCATTGAAAGCTGCTACTGAAAGCTATCTGGCGGTGCATTCCAAATCCTTCTTCCACATACTGGCAAAACCAGAGGCAATCGCCTTAAACCTGTGCCTTCTGGCTGTCAGAGATAGTAGGAACTGCCGATGCTGGAGAATCTGAGATAACAAGGTATAGAGCTGGATGAACACAGCAGGCCAAGCAGCATCAGAGGAGCAGGAAAGCTGACGTTTCAGAAGGGTCCAGGCCCGAAACGTCACCTTTCCTGCTCCTCTGATGCTGCTTGGCCTGCTGTGTTCATCCAACTCTACATCTTCTGGCTGTCAACTCTTCAGCCATCGAAAGGTTTCTGTTCATTCGTTGACTATCTTTGATTTCAGTTTTACCAAATCCCCTCTAAGCCTTTTTTATTCTAAGAATTAGTCCTCCAGGTTCTCCGATCTATCCACATTATTGCATCACTAACATAAAATTCTTCACACGAACAGGATCTGCAGTGCAAATGAGCTGTTAGGTAGAAAGTAGTAAATTTGCCTGTGACAAGCTTGGAATCAATCTTTTCATCCTTAGTATAGTTAGAATATGGTACTTACTAATATGCAGAAATAGTTGAGGCAAAGAGCATTGAGCTGAAGCTAGATAAACACATGAAGGAAAAAAGAAATATGCTGATCAGCTGCAGTGAAGTAGAGTCAAACTAGCATAGACCAGTTGAGTCATTCGCCTGTTGCTTTGCGGTGAATGCAACATATATAAAACAATGGAGCTATAAACAAATGGTTCAGATTCACCTGTGCAAGTTGGCAAACTATTATGTAATATAAGCCAAAATATACTGCAGGGATGAGAAGCAACATTACCACCTAGTGGTGATATTCTTTTTTAAAAAAATACAAATACAAGCACCTTCACCACATGTCCCAACTTTCAGACTTCAAACAACTAAAAGATTCAGCATGAATCAGCCACTCCTACGTTTCAAATTCTGAGAATCAATGCACAACTTCACAAACTCCAAATATATTTAGAATCTTACACAAGAGATCATGTGGCTCCTTGTACTTGTGCAGTCTCTCTGAAAGAGCTATCTAATTAATCGTATTTCCTTGCTCTTTCCCCATATACTCGAAAATAAATATTTACACATTCCCTTTGAAAGCTGTCATTAAATCTGCTTCCATCTTCCTTTCAGATTGCGTATTCCAGGTCATTATAACATGCTTCTAAATATAATCTCTCATTTTGCCCTAGTTCTTTTACAATTACCTTAGATCTGTGGTTAGTGACTCTTCGACCAATGAAAACCGTTCCTTGCTCCCCATTTATTTTATCAAAACCCCTCAGTTTTAAACAACCTTACTGAATCTTCCTTTAACATTCTCCACACTAAGGAAAACAAATCCAGTTCTTCTAATTTTGCCACATTATCATTGATGATTCACATTAAATTAAAAAGATAAGAAGTCACAGACTTCAAAGAAGCACAACTTATGCAAGCACTGAAACTTGATGAGTTGACAGGTATCCCATTTTTCAAAGGAAGAGTTAGAAACTGCAACACAGAACAGTTTGCTGGATTCATTAAAAAAAATGCTTCTATGTGTATGCAGGGGACTGATAAACACCACAGTATCTGGCTGAAAACACAAGGCAAGTAAACCCTTCACAAAAACGGAAGTACAATACAATGTTGTGAATAGATGGCAACTAAGTACATGCAGCTGTTTGGTTTCATTAAAGTATCCTGTCCTCAATCTTCAAATACTGGGCACAATTTGGGAAGGCAGTATATGCTAACACCATTCTTGTTTAAGGGTCACAACTTGCAGAAACATTGTCGAAATCACCACTGACTGAACTTTAATTTTGAAGTGGAGGAATTTCTGATGAACACCACATTTGCGACAACACGAGCCCCCAGAAACATTCTGTAATCAGGACAGGGAATGTTTTTTAAGTTGTGGGTGTGGGGAAATAGTCAGGAGTAATCTAGTTGAAGATTAGTGGCAAGAGGCATTGTGCAGTGAGTTGCAGCTGTAGCTACTAACTCTGGCTACAGCTTGATACAGAGAAACAGTAGGAGAGGGCGGCAAGCAAGGAAACAGCAAAAACCATTTTCAGTTTTATATTTTTTGGAGAAGGTAATGACACCAAAGGATTCTCAAAGAAAAATCGTTTGCATTAAAAGCAGGCCATCACTTCTCAGCTCATGTCTTTTGTTGAATGATGACTTTTATTTCAAGAAATATTGAACAGACTCTAGAAGCCATAGCAGTTCTGCTACGGATTTCTATTCTTTTCAGATTTCACTAATTTTGTGTTAAATAAAAAAAACCTCAAAACTTTCTTTGGAGACACTGAATTGAATGCGAATAATGCACAGCTACTTTGTTTAGACCATGTACATGGTTAATGATTGCTGCAATGTCCTGAATTGGTGCAAAGTATTAGGAATGCATGGTATCACAGATGTATAATGTAGGGCAAGTTCCTTACCAATGTTACTATTGCACATTCTGCAGTCAATTGGGCAGCACCGAAGAGAGTCCGTACAAACCGGTATATGTGTTTATGTTCTGGGTCACGTTCACAATAATCTACTGGCACCTCTTCTCTCTGCAGCAAGATACAAAATCTCAAATAGGTATATTGATAAGACAAAACAAAAGTAAGAACAATATTTTGACTTTTTTTTTTTAAAACTGATGGGTTCAACTACATTCGTTAGGATTATGCCCAATCATCCAACTCAGTACCCTGTGTCGCTTTCTCCACATAGCCTTTAATCCCCTTGATCCAAAAATGATTGTCTGAATAGCTATAAATGAGAGGTGGAATGTGCAGCGAGACCTGGGTGGTGTGCTGGGCTTTATGCCAGGAGCAGCGACATCTTGCTGCGATTGTACAGGGCCTTGATGGGACCAGACCTGGACTGCTGCGTGAAATTTTGGTCTCCTTGTGTGGGGAGAGACATCCTTGCTGTGGAGGAAGTGCTGCAAACGTTTGCCGGGCTGATTCCTGGGAATGACAGGCCTGACGTGTGGGGAGGGGGTGAGGATTATGTTTGCTGGAATCAGGAAACGGGTGGGGGGGGGGGGATCTCATGGAGGCCTGTGGAATTCTGGCCGGGCCTGGCCAGGGGGGCCATGGGGGGGGGGGGGGATGTTCCCGATGGCAGGGGTTCCGGAACTAGGGATTGTGGTCTATGGACGCAGGATGGACCGGAATGGGCAGAAGTTTCTTCATCCCAGGAGTGACGAGCCCGTGAATTTGATCCCGCAGGAAGTAATCGAGGTCAAAACTTTGCATGATTTCAAGAAATTGGACATTGCACTCAGGGGCTAAAGGGATCAAAGGATACAGGGGAAAAGCATGAACAGGCTGGTGAGTTGGACGATCAGACATAATCAATGGCAGAACGGGCTCAAAGAGCCAAATGGCCTACTCCTGCTCCTGTTTTCTATAATCATAGCTAACGTTTCCATGACTAAACAATTTCCAGGCCCTCAGGGGAATATTCTGTTCGTGACCTGAAATCCAACTACTTGGAGGTGCAGAACAAAGGCCACTAAATGACTCTCCTCAGTTATCCACATGTCTGGGCACAGTATGCAGGGAACTGTTGGAACTAAGAGTCCAGCAATGCTGGCAACCTCAGGCACCTCACCCCAGGTGAAATGTTCAAATATGCACTTACACAGCAAGTACAAACCAAGTAACTGGCCGTCTGGAATGCCACAGCCAGCCAGGACCAGCCCTCCCCTTCCTACACAACTGATTTCCCAGCAGAATGAATGGATAACGCATCAAAAGTGGAACACTTGGTACAGATTTACATCTACACTAATGTAGAACACATGATGACTCAACACTATCTTACCCTTGTTGCTTTTAAATGAAACAACAGATTATTTCGTAACTTAATTGAAGCATTGCTACATGGCATATTGCAAGTGTTCTGTACAGAGCAGACTTTGTAGCACTACACCCTGCCAGCAGATGCAGGGGGCGAAAGAAACTTAAAAATAAAATGAAATCTTATCTCCTCGATGAACTGGAGTAAGTAAACTGGTTGGCATGACACTAAAGTAGAGTTCTCATTCCTGATCACACTCCAGCAACTCTGACGGGAGGGCTTGCTTGCTAAACTATATCTGCCTTTATTCTAGCATTCTGAACTATCTGCACTATTCTAGCAATCTGACTAAATTTCACAGAATGGAAATCAGAGGATAAAGGGTAAGAGGAAGAACGAGCACACTGGAAGAGCCAATTGATAGCTCATACAATGGCAGTAACAGTAACAGAAACAGAAATTCAGAAAAGCCAATCGAGTGCAGTATTTGGTAAATTTCAGAAAAGCACAGACCTACTAGGTTAAACTACTCAAGTCCTGTACATTCCAAAGAACAATGCAATCATATGGATAATCACAAGCACGTTTAGACCCACTATGTCTACATAATAAACCCAAGCACTACCAATTTGTTAGTCCTGTTCATTTTTGAGATCGGTTAACGTGATGAGATTGGAATAAAAAGAAAAGCACTTACAGTCAACGGGTGCATTTTCTCATCAAAAATATCTATTGATCTGTCTGAATCTCTGCAGGAAGAGCACAAGTTAACATTTACTCCTTTCATCACTTGCAATGTAAATTCTGCTGCTCCTTCAACTTACTTTGCTGCCACCCTCTGGAACTTCCTTGGCTCAACTTTTCCACTTGTTTCATGTTTTCCAAACCTCCTTAAAATGCTGTATATCAACTGAGCTTTTAACACCCTCCAAGCACACAGCATATCTACACTGACTTCATTAATTTCCTCCAATTTTTTTTTTTAGAATTTGTTCCTCCCTTTAATCTTTCTGTGCAATTACAACAGCTTTGGCATCCTTTGCCATTTCTTATATTAAGAACCAAGTGTCTTAAATAATCTTTAACAACTGAAAGATCTCCAAAATGCTTTACAGCTAATGAAGTAAGCTGCAGTGTAGGAAATTACTCTACATGGTCTAGCTAATGCTTTGCAGAGTGTCCCTTCCATTTTCCTGCGAATCATGAAGGTTCTTTTGCACTTAATGTTTACAACACAAACTACACAGTCTTCCATGTTCGACTAACTATTGCGTGAGAGGATGGCACTAGGTCTTGTGGCTCTTCAGTTGCTATAGGGGATTCTTTTCTCTCCTCAATATGATCAGCTTTTTATTGTCTGATAAATTGAAATGCCTTTCCTCTGCTTCCTATTACCAACCAATACTCTGTCCACGTTGATAGGTTACCTCCTACACTATGCATTCTTATTTTGCATACTAGCCTTTGATGTGGCACGTCATGAAATGCCTTCTGCAAACCCAATTACAATATATCCGCTGGTTCCCCTTTATCTACATTGTTTATTTCCTCAAAAGGACCCCAACAAATTAGTCTAAAATGATTTTCCTGTTCCCTGGCCGATATCTCTGTCTCAGGTTTGCTGCAGTGCTCCAGCGAAGTTCAGCGTAAGCTGGAAGAACACCACCTCATCTTCCACCTGGGCACCCTGCAGCCTTGTGGACTCAGGGGAGTTCAAGCCCTAAAATTATTGAACTCAGGGTTGAGTCCTAGTCCCCAACCCCACCATCATACACCAGGCCTTGTTATCACACAGTCTGCTATTACACACAACCCATTGTTAGTAGTCTCCATTAAATGATATTCACCCTCCTAGCCAGGTCCACTCCTTTGTCTGGCCAATTGTTCTTCTCTCTCTTTGGGCTCTATCCCCACCTATCGTTTACCCCTTAATCCTCCCTCCACCCTGTCTTCTGCATAAAAACCGACATTTTCCTAGCTACCATCAGTTCTAAGGAAGGGTCACTGGACCCAAAGTGTTAACTCTGATTTCTCTGCACAGATGCTGCCAGACCTGCTAAGCTTTTCTAGCAATTTCTGTTTTTGCTTCTGATTTACAGTATCTGCAGTACTTTCATTTTTTTATTTATGATTCTCCTTTCACAAAACTCTGCCTGATTGCATTGAAATTTACTAAGTGCGCTGGTAAAACTTCCTTAACAATAGATTGCAGCATTTGCCAGCTTATGACAGAAGCTGGGCTAACTGGTCTATTGTTTCCGAGTTTCTGTCTCTCTCCTTTCTTGAATAAAGGAATCAGATTTGCTATTTTTCAATCCTATAGGACCTGGCCAGAATCTCTAAAATTTTGTAAAATCTACTATATCTCAGATGGCTCTTAACAGTATAGGATGAAGTCCATCAGGCTTCTGTTTTCTAATCATATTTTAGTTTGAACAATTTTCTCAGCATACTTTCCCTGGTGATTGTAATTGTGTTAAGTTCTTTACTCCCTTTCACATTCGGATTGATGATTATTTCTGACATGATTATTTATATCCTCTACTGTGAAGGCGGGCACAAAACATCTGGTCAATTCATTTGCTCTCTTCCTATCTTCCATTACTAATTACCCAGATTTGCTCACCAGAGAGCTAATGCTCACTTTAATGACTCTTTTCCTTTCTAAACACCTTCAGAAACTCAGTGTTTTATATTTCTAGCTAACTCTCACAAGTACTCTAATTTCTCCTTCCTTATTAATCCTATTAAGTTTAGTCACTCTTTGGTGTTCTATTATATCCAATCCTCTGACAGCTCATTTTGGCAAAATTATATTTAATGCCTTTAGTTAGCCATAGATGGCGCATCCTTCCCTTAGAATCTTTCTTATTCAGTGAAATGTATGTTTTCTAAGTATTCTGAAATATGTGCTTAAATGTTCTCCACTGTACCTCAACTGATCAATCCCTCTGTCGAATTTGCTGCTATAGAAAAGGTTGGAGGTCAAAACAGCGAATGTTTTCAAGTAGTTATATATAGTTCTTAGGGCTAAAGAGATCAAAGGATATGGGGAGAAAGCAGGTACAAAGGTACCAAGTTGATGATCAGTCATGAACATACTGAATGGCGGCGGAGGAGGCGGTTCAAAGGGCCAAATGGTCTACTCCTTTTATTTTCTATGTTTCACAAGTTTAACAGTTCCCCAGTTTGTTTTAACCAGCTCTAATTTCACATTCTCAATGGATCTTGTTTTCATTTAAATGACGAGTCTTAGATCCACGGTCCTCTTCCTCAAATTGAAAGCAAAATTCAATCATATTACAATCACTGTCTTTACTGAGAGGTCACTAATCAATTATATTTCACTGCACATTAACAGGACTAGGATAACCTACTCTCTGGTGGCCAAAAACATACTGCTCTAGGAAGCAATCCCAATTACACTCCATGAACGCATCTACATTGCAACTCTGATTCATCCGATATGTAGATTAAAATCACCTATGATTATCACTGTACTTTTCTACTAAATCCCTTTAATTTTTTTTTCTTGGTACCCTGATCTATAACGTAGTTTATGTTCAGGGACCTATAAACCACTCAATGACTTCTTAACCTACATTATTTCTAATTCCTACTCAAACCGATTCTACTTTCTGATCTCCACACTGAGGTTGTATCTTTCTATTGTGCAGATATCAACTCGAATTAACAGAACTGCCCTTCCATTTTTACTTAGCTTCCCGTCTTCCCTAAATGTCATGTGCCGTTGAGTATTCAGGTTCCAATATTTGTCACAGAAACAGAAACTGCTGAAGAAACTCAGCAGGTCTGGCAGCATCTGTGGGAAGAAAGCAGAGTTAATGCTTCGAGTCTGCTGCCAGACCTACAAAGTTTCCCCAGCAACTTCTGTTTTTGTTTTTCCAGATCTCCAGCATCAGCACTTTACATTCTTTACTTTATCCCAGTCTTGGTCACCTTGTAGCCATGTCTCTGCAGTGGTTATTTCTATTTATACTGTTGTCATTTTTTTTTAAACGAACGCTATGTACATTCAAAAACAGAACCTTTAGTTATGCCATTTTACTACTTTTGCGATCCATCGCCCTTTCTACTGCTGCACTCTTGGTTTGTAGACCCTAGCCCTTCACACAACATTCTGATTACCAAGAGATAGCAAGAACTGCAGATGCTGGAGTCAGAGATAATAAAGTGTAGAGCTGGAAGAACGCAGCAGGCCAGGCAGCATCACAAGAGCAGGAAAGTTGACGTTTCGGGTTGGGACCCTTCTCTTGACCCAAAGCGTCAACTTTCCTGCTCCTCTGATGCTGCCTGGCCTGCTGTGTTCTTCCAGCTCCGTATTCTGATTACTAATGCCCTATTTTGCTACCTTGTCTCTTTGCCTTATTTTACATAGAAACAGTGAAACTAGGACCAAGTGTAGGTCCTTTGAACTTGCTCCACCATTTAGTATGCTCATGACCGATCCCCTATCTGAACAACATATCCCTGCTTACTCGCCTCACCCCTTGACGCCTTTAGCATTTAAAAATTAACCAATCACTTCCTTGAATATACTCAGTGACCCACTCCACACAGCCTTCCTTGGCAGCAAGGTCCACAGGGTGACCACCCTGAGCGAAGAAATGTTTCCTCATCTCAGTCCTAAGTGGCTTACTCTATACCCGAGACTGTGATCTTAATTCCAGCACCTAGTCTGGCTAGTCCTGTTAGAAATTTGTACGTTTCAATTAGATCCCTCTATCCCTCCCTATCTGATCTTCTCTATTTAATTTATAGAACTTTGTCAAACTTTCTTTGTCTCCTCCAGGACTGAGTCCTGAAGAAGGGTAATACGTGAAACATTGACTGCTCCTTTCCTCCAGATGCTGCCTGGCCTTCTGTGTTCTTTCAGCCTCTTATTTGTCTATCTTGGATTCCAGCATATGCAGTTTTTTTTTGTCTCTAACCTTTATTTCTCTCTTTCGCTATTTAGCTTAGAGACCTGTTTATTGCTCCAGTTATATGACTTGCCACAGCACTGGTCCCAGCACAATTCAGGTGAAGACCATCCTAACAGTATAAATCTCACTTTTCCCAGTACTGGTGTCAGTGTCCTAGGAAGCAAAACTCATTTCTCCCACATCAATATATTTAATCCAGATTCAGAGTCAGAGACATCTGCAGAGGGTTCCAGGAACAGGGGAATTATCTATTCTAAGTTGAAATTTTCCAGGCAATTCCTATATAATTCCATGTGTACAAGCTGCACAGGGTCCTGCAGTGCACCTTCAATTGAATGTTTGGTGTCTGACAACTGGGAAATGGGAAGATTTGGCCCATTGTTTTTGGTATCTTCTACCATGGAACAAATACAAACAGCATTCCTTTGCTGAGTTCAGAAGTTCTCCCAACCTTCAGGCAATGTACTCTTTTCGGCAGCATTATAAACCTCTTCTTTTAATGTAATGGTACCTTTAAAATTATTTTACTAGTCACCAATGAACTACTTTTCCCAATGATGATTTAATTCTTCAAGGGAATAATCTATTTGTTGTGCATTAATTATTATGCATCATTATGTATTAATATTTTAAAAATATGCCGTTGCTTTTCAACCATCAAATCTTTTAAACTAGTTTCTTACACTTATGCAGTTTTATTTGGTTAGATTTAAGGCCAAAGGTTTTGATTTAAGTAAATCACACTCAAATGGAATTAAAATTACATCAGAACAAATGGTCCACCCAAAGGCCTTTATCTTTTGGATAATGCTCAACCAGTCCTTGACATATTCATCCAGAAAACTCTCAAATGCCATGAACTCTCAGTTTTCTTGTGAATTTTGATTGTTGTGGTTTATAAGATAATAAAAAAAGTCAACGCTGCACTGTCTCAACTAAATATACTGGAGGTATCATTCAAGTTATCTAAATGCACAATTAGGTCAGAAAAAGTTGTTTTCCCAGAGAATAATGGACTTGGATCAAAGGGTTGGTTTCATGCTGTACAACTCTGACGGACTAAGCTGTCAACTCATGCAGTGAGTTCATGGTCACCTTATTTCTTCAATTGAGAAATGGTGCAATTTCTGGAAGACGTGAAGGTTGCCACCTACAACCTTGTAATGTTGTTCAAGCCATTTAGATCTTCTGGACTAGTTTTAATCACTTAAAGAGGTCAGACAGAAAATGGCCAGACTTCACGCTTGCACAATTGGCCTAGATTTTGTTTGTTTTTCCTTGAGGTTTACTTTGTTTTGGGTGGGATGGCAAGTGTATGCAACATAACAAGGATGTTATAATTGTGTTAAGGCTAGAAGGATAAGTAGGCCTTCTCCTCCATTTCTGTTTGGGTTTTTCTCAAAGTTTCAGGTTCCTCCAACTAAAGAAAACACCATTCATGCCTTAACACATCTTGATTTGACTATTCCAATGTTCTCCTGGTCGGTTCCCCACCTATAAACTCCAGCTCATCCAAAATTGCTGTCCACATCTTAACTTGCTTCATTCATCTATCACCTTCATCCCCACTATTTGCTGACCTAAATTTGCTTCCAGTGCAGCAAGCTCTTAATTTAAAATTTTCATCCTCCTATGAAAATTCCTCCATGGCTTGACTCCTCCCTAACTCTACAATCACCTCTAGCCCTACAACTCTCCATGAGCATCAAATTCTTCCAGTTCTGACCTCTTCTACAGGCCATTTTACACCACTTTACCACTGATAAAATTCTAAGGTTTTATTATGCTGCAGCTCCTGTATAAATACAAGTTGATGAAGACGACAACCTTTCCTCTCTTTTTAGTTTTGCTCCATTAAAAATGATTACAGTCAATAGTTTAGGGCAGTTATCAGAACTATGAGTGGTAGAGGAAATCACGCTGGTGGCCGCAGAACCCAAGGCAATGCTTTTAAAAATTGACTTCCTGAAAATTCACAGGGGTTAATTGACAGAGTACCAACATGCTATGACATCCACTTTGTAGAAAAACCTTGCATCTTGTGAAACACCACACACTAGCTGCTAAAGGAAGGCACTGGCTAATTAGTAGTAGTCAAAAGGAACAATTTGAGAAAATCCAGATTACCTGTTCTTTGTGTGATAATATATTGCAAGTGTAACGCTGTTAGAAGAGGAATACAAAAAAGTTATTAAAACTTAAGCTGTTAAACACAAGCAAACTTAAATAAAAGTTTTCACAATGGGCTGACAAATACAATCTTCCACCATTTCTCACCACTAACTACCTTGCAGAGCAAACAGCATTTCCCTACCATCCCACCACCCCCAATTAAAGTCAAACTAGGCTTCCTTATAGAACTTTTACTGACTGACTTACATCTGCATTTGAAATATAAACGAATCACAGTTTAAGATGCAATGGTACAAGTAACTTGCCAACAGAAAGCAAAGACAGGCATAGGCCCATCACACTCTCCAGACATCTCAAAGTACTTCAAGTCCAACAAATTACTTTAAAGGTGCAATCACTATTGCTGTGGCAGCAGATTTGCACATGACAAAATCCCATAAAAGACAAAGGAGATTAATGATAATTTAATCTGTCCCTGGTGATGCTACAATGAAATAAAACATTGGCTATGAGAAAGGGAAAACCCCACTTGCCATCCCACCCAAAGTCGTTCCAAGAGATCTTCCATACTCAGCCAGAACTGCCACATCTTAATCTGAAAAATGGCACCTCTAAGCTTGTCAGCCCAAATGATGTGTTTACATCCTAGACTAGGGCTGGAGTCTACAACATACGGTGCTGAAGTGAGCAGAAGGGCAGATACTTGAATCAGGATGATTCATTTAGGTAATTCACAACAGTTAAGATGATGCAAGTAAACATACTTGAACTTTTAGTGCCCCACAATTAGGTAAATCTAAACTGACAGAAAGGCAATCTCACTTATTAATCACCTACCATTTAATTGTGCTTTTTAGGTTAGGTTGGCTTACAGTACTGTCGTCAATAAATATTGTTGAACATGAGCTGTATTTTTTAGTAAGTTGACCAGGAGATACCTGCATAAAGAAATGAAATCAAATTAGTTTGGTGGAAAAATTTGTAGCACAGCAGCACGGGATACAGATTACTGCACAAAATAGGTATTAATCTTATGTAATGAAAAAGCCCAAAACATCAAGAATTTATTATTATTAATATAACGTTTTATAGCTCATATCACTTTGAAATTTCTTAAACCACCTCATACAAATGAGTTATTATGCAGATATATGCACCAGCTATTATGTAAGCAACTCCTTGTAAATAGTAACAGCCTATTAATTTGCCCCATTTTTGGTTGATGGAGGAATACTAACTATGACACTTGAAGAACTCCCTGCTAAAAGCTACTCCTTTGACCAAACTTTTGGTTACTTGCCTTAACGGCTCTTTCTGTGTCTTGGCATCAGGTTCTGTTTAATAATCGCTCCTGTACACCAGCTTGGGATGTTTTGCTCTGTTAAAAATGCTTTATAAATGCAAGTTCAGCTGCTGTTGCCCTTGAAATAATATGATAGAAACCATGATGTCTACTTGAACCACATTTCCTTTAGTGAAACTATACTTTTACTGAATCAGGAGCAGGCTTTTCGTATGACCATTCTCCAAATGTTTTGATAGCCTCATTCAAACATGAAGCCAAAGTATTTTAGTGGAGTCTAAAACTAGAGGGCATAGGTTAAGATGACAGAGGAAAGATTTTAAAAGGGACCTAAGGGACAACTTTTTCACACAGAGGATGGTGCATGTATGGAATGAGCTACAAGAGGAAATGGTGGAAGCAGATACAATTTCAACATTTAAAAGCCATCTGGACGGGTACATGAATAGGAAGGGTTTAGAGGGATATAGGCCAAATGCAGGTAAATGGGACTAGATTAATTTAAGTTATCCGGTCGGCATGAACGCGTTGGACAGGGCTTATCCATATCCTTTAAGGTAAGCCAACAGTTATTCACTGCAGTTTTAAAAAGCAGCTTCACTCTTAATATCCAGACTGTAGCAGTAGCAAGGAAGTCTGAAACAAGAGACGGAGGTTGTGTTCGACCTCTAATCTGGAGCATTGCCATCCACTTTAAATAGGGTTAATTTTGTAGTTAACCATAATTCTCTCTCACCTGCAGGGTAGTATTGTTTGACATTTATACATCATTTAAAAATGCCTAGGAAGCCCATCTTAATTACCAAGGCTCATACTGTAGTACATTCTGAAGAGAGCAAGTTTACAAACAAACAATCTTTAACTTTCTATGAACACTACTATATCAGCAGGATTGACTGACTAATAACTACTCAGCTGGACCCACCATGATTATGGCACATTGTCTAAACACCATCTCCGTTTCTCTGTAGCATTGCCATGTTCTTGTTTCTCCCAGTGTCACCAAGAATTAAAGATCCGTCTCATTGACACTGCTTTGAATAACCCAGGTGAAAAATCGTAGGAACATTAAATAAAAAGTGACATGGCATGCTTTTCTAATTTCCTTAAATACTTTCATTCATCGGTCGCAAACATGTCGAAAATAGGGGGAGTGCTGTGTGATCGGACAAATGGTTAGAAGGAATATTTCACATGAAGCAGCTTCCAGGAACACGCCTCTCCTGGCATATAACAAATATTACATGAACCTGCTTGTGCAGCGCTTCAAAATTAAATACAGTGTCTAAATCCATTTTTTCCCTACCTACCGTTAGTTCTGAAGAAGGGTCACTTGACCTGAAATGTTAACTGATTTCTCTCCACATATGCTGCCAGACCTACTGAGCTTTTCCAGCAATTTCTGTTTTTGTTTCGGACTTACAGCATCCGCAATTCTTTCGGTTTTATCTAAATCTAAACCATCCAGCAACATTCTGAAAACTGAATTGTAAACAAGCAGCACTATTCAGTGAGAAAACGACTCGCCTCTCAAATTAACACTTTGGCTGCAAATCAATACTGAATTCCAAGTACACGGTCTTCCATTATTGAGGCTTGCAATGTAAGAACGCCATTATTATCTGCAGGAGTGGTCCCTCAAACATGGTCTGTCATTCAATAAGATCATGTTGATCTCCCATTTCATCTCCACAGTCCCACCTTATCCCCATAACTCTTTAGTCTTATGGCTGCTGTGATATTTCATTAGTCAGCTGAGGACACTGTCCAAATTTTCTGACTTCCTGTCTCAACGTTGCTGAGTCTTGCTGGGGCACCAATACAACTCTGCCAAGCACCCTCTGCTATTTCCTGCAAGTGGGTGTCTTTCAAGTATCAACCTGGTATGTTATAACAATAACTTGCATTTATGCACACTTTCAACATTGCAGAACATCCAAAGGCACACCACTGGAGCATCACCAGACAAAAAAAATCTGGAAATAAAGTCACATTACAAATATAAAGAAAATTGAGCAAAGATTTAATCAAGGAGGCAGGTTTTAAGGAGGGTGTTAAAGGAGCTAACGTTAGTAGAGGCGAAAGAGGTTTAGGGTGAAATTCCAAAATTAGGGGCCGTGATAGCTGAAGGCACAGACACCATTGGTGAGGTCAAGGAGAGTAGGAACAAGGTCAGAATTGGAGGAATGCAGAGCATGTGGAGGATTGTCAAGTTGGAAGAGGTTACAGAGGTGGGAAAGGCAAAGTCATGAATGATTTGAACATTTAAACATGGATCTACCATAACTGAGCCCAATGCTGTTTTTAATAAACATAGAAGGCATCTTTGTGAAACAGTTCACAATGAGTATCTTGACTGATCTTTCTTCGCTTGTCAGTTTTTTGGCAATGCTGTCAAAAAGATTCTCTCAAAAGAAACAGGAGATCAAAAAGTACAGTCTAGTCTGAAGTCAAGACTTGCACTATACAGCGCCTTTCACAACTTCTGAATATTCCAAAGTGCATTCAATCTAATGGAGGAGTCACAGTTGCAGTGTGGGAAATATGGCCGTTAGCTTTGCACTTAGCAAGGTCTTACAAACAGCAATGTAAAAATGACCGGCTAACCTCTGTTAAGGCATGTTAGTTGGTGGATGAATATTGATATGATACCTGGGTGCTCTCCCGCCCTCTTCTTCAAAATAGTGCTGTGGAATTTTTACAACCAACTGATAGAACAGCAATTATTTGCATATAAATCAAGAGGTGAATAGCCAATAGGTCCTTCAAGCTTTCTCCACCATTCGATAAATTCATGGCTTATCTGTTTGTGATCTCAACTCCACTTTCCTGCTGCTCCCCATTAGCCCTGGCTCCCTTGTCACCAAGAATTTGTCCAACTCAGCCTTAAAATGTTTCAGTAACCCTGCCTCCATGGCTTGCTGGGGAAGAGAATTCAACAGACTAACCATCCACAGAGTAAAAATTGCTCATTACCAGATTAAAGACTCCTTATTTTCAAACTGTATCCTCTAGTTCTAGTCTCTCTCACAAAGGGAAATACATCCACCCTTCACATCATCTCAGCATCTTGTCTGTTTCAATAAGTTCATTTCTCATTCTGCTAAATTCCAAGAGTAACAAGCCCAACGCTTCCTCATAAAACACCATCCGCATCCCCAGAATCAGTTGAGTGAACGTTCTCGGCACTGTTTCTAATGCAATTAAGTCCTTTCTCAAATTAGGAGACCGAAAACCGTACACAATCATCCAGATGTGTTTGCACCATATCACAAAGACTCCCCGCTTTTATATTCTATCTGCCTTTCAATAACCAACAACTTTCTATTTGTCTTCCTAATCATTTTCTGCACTTGGAAACTACCTTTTCCTAATTCACATACCAGGACACCCAGATCCCTCTTTACCACAGTTCTGCAATCTCTCTCCATTGAAATAGCGCTTTTCTATTCTTCCTGCCAAAGTGGACAAGTTCATATCGGTGTGAATTATACTCCATTTAACAAATTTTTGTCCATTCAATCTATTCAAATCCCTTTGCAGACTCCTGATTTTCTCCTCACAAATTACTCTTTTCCCTATCTTTGTGTCACCAGCATAATTAAAAGCCCCTTCATTTGCTTGTTTCATCCAAATCATCGATGTAGGTTAGTTGACACGCCAGCACTGATCACAGTGACACTCAACTAGTTACATCTTGCTTCCTGTTAGCTAGCCAATCCTCTATCCATACTAATACCTTAACCCCTACTCCAGGAGCTCTTAATTTATGGACTAACCTCCGATAAGGCAGCTTATCAAATGTTTTCTAGAAACCAAGAACATTACATCTGCAGGGTCCCCTTTGTCCATGTGGTTTGTTACTTCCTCAAAAGAACTTTAATAAATTAGTCAAAAATAACGTCCCTTTAAAATAAAACCGCACTGATTCTGCCTGATTACAGTGAGATTTTCTAAGTACCCTGCTATAATCTCCTTAACAGTTTCCTGCATTTTTCCAATGGGAAATGTTGGGCCAACTGGACAGGTAACGTCTCACTATCTAGTGGGCGCAGACACGTTAGATTGAAAGGTCTATTTCCGTACTGTATGACTCTGACTCTATAACTGGTTTGTGGTTTCCTGCTTTTGCTATTCCTCCTTTTTTGAATAGAGGAATTACATTCATCATTTTCCAATCTGATGGGACCTTTCTGGAATTTTGGTAAATTGAACCCAATGCTTCTCCTACCTCAAGCAGCCACTTCTCTTAAGACCCAAGGAGAAATCTGTCAGTGTTTAGCTCTAATAATGTTCTCAGTACCCTTTCTTTGATGATTGTAATTGTTAAGTTCTTTCCTCCCTCTCACCTCTCACAACATAGATAGGGAGGGGTATGCCTATGAAATGATTTGAAACAAGAATGGGAAATTTAAAAATAAGGCATTTTGTAACCAGGGCTGATGTAGGTCAGGAAGCACAGAAGTGACGGGCAACTAGAATTTGGTGCAAGTTAGGATGCAGGTAGCAGGCAGCAAAGTCTTGGATAAATTCGTATTTACATAATGTAGAATATGAAGGCCAGTGTATCAGAATAATCAAGTAGCAGAAGCATAGGTGAGAGTTTCAGCAGCAGGCGAGTTGAGGTGGCATGCACTTGGGGATGGAGTAGACAGATGGTAAAGATGCTCACTCCTGAGTCAAATCAGACAGCAAGGTTACAAAAGAGGTGGATTAAGCCTCATTCAGCTGCCAGGGAGTAAGATGGAATTAACTGCTCATGAACATACTTTGCCATTGAAGACAATAACTTCCCAACAAGTCAGCTGAAGAAACTTCCTGCTCATGCAGTACTGGATACCAGACAGTCAGTCTGATAAGTTCGAGATGGCAGAGTGATAGGAAAAGGTGGTGGTGATATGAAGTTGGGTGCACGCATGGAAACTAACTTTGTTGTTATTGGATAATGTCACTGAGGGAGACGTGTAAATGAAAAAGTAGGATGGAATCAGGGCAGATCCTCGGGGACATGGCAGATAACGGTGCAGGATCAAAAAGATGGAAATGGAACCAGGCGAGTGCTGCTCCATAGTTTAGACATTGGTGGAAAGACACTGGAGGAAGACGATATGGTAAAGCATGTCGAAGCTTCAGATGTATCAAGAAGATCAAGGACAGACAAGATGTCTTGGTATTAGTTACATAGGATATAGGGTTAATAAGTATCACACCTCTAACAATGCAGCACACACTCAATAGTGCACTGGAGCGCCGAAGAGTAGTTGTTTTCCCACATTTGCTTTTATATAAAAAAAACTCATGGGCTGTGGACATTGCTGGCTGGCCAGCATTTATTGCTGGTCCCTAGCTCCCCTTGAGGTGATGGTGTTGAACGGCATTCTTGAACTGCTGCAGCCTATGTGCATGTAAATTGGTGGCATGCAGGACCAAGACTGCATGTCATCTAGTTGTAACATTTTGGTTAAAGCACATTCCCAATCATGGTGATCTGTAAATTGCTTTCCTGACACTGCAGCTGAACATCCAGAAGTCCAAGTGAAAATCAGGTTTCCTTTGCTGCACATCCAAGAGGTCAAAACCTGGCAGATGTCATAATTAGCTGTGAAACAGAAAACATCTGTCACAGGAGCAAAAAAAAAATAGAAAGGAAACCTCCAGCTTTAAATATTATCTGTTTATATCCAGAAGACATTCTTGGATACATTTCACACCTGAGTTATGGTAACACCAGCAAAGCGAACAATTCCACCCAATGTTCAACGTTCCAAAAGGATGCCAAACAGTGTTAACTGGTTCAATTAGAAGTCAGTTTTTGCTTGATAACTGGATTTGCATATAGTCTGCCTAGAGCTACTGGGAATGATTTGGCTCTCTAATTGCCTGGCTATACAGCATAACCATTTTCTCCCACTGTAGTTCTTTGGGCTGAAGAGGACCTATATTTGAGCATCTACTCCATCCACTGGAGCACACGTGGTTTCTCCCAGTGCTGATGATATTATTTGTGCCCCCCCGCATTCCCTTCTCACTCAGGCAGGAGGGAGTGCAGAAGAGAGGGAAGCAGCAAGCAGGAGGGAGCAGCAAGCAGGTGTATTGACAGCAGCATTGTGTCTGTGATCTTTGATGCAGGCAGCTACCCATGATGCCTCTATCAGTTCTTTAGGACATTCTGAAGTTGTGACAGGCTATATAAATGAAAGCCTTTAGAATGGACTATGCTGGGTTTCCCAGTAGGCAGTTACATTGTATTTCACATCTCGGATCAGACCTTGGGAAAGAATTCTCTCGGTCTGGATTGCCTCAGACCTGGCTCCTAATGTGAACCTGAGGTAACAAGGTGTAGAGCTGGATGAACACAGCAGGCCAAGCAGCATCAGAGGAGCAGGAAAGCTGATGTTTCAGGTCTGGACCCTTCTTCAGAAATGGGGGAGAAGAAGGGGACTCTGGAATAAATAGAGAGACCAGCTCTAGATTCTCCAGCATCGGCAATCCCTACTATCTCTGAGCGAGTTTTAATCCCACTGCGAAGCCTCTTCTATGGATGCCTACCTTGAAGAAGTTACCTTCCTCCCTCCGGAAAGACCTCAGTGGATCTCTCTATGTATTCCAGAGTCCCGTTCCCCTCCCCCATTTCTGAAGAAGGGTCCAGACCCGAAACGTCAGCTTTCCTGCTCCTCTGATGCTGCTTGGCCTGCTTTGTTCATCCAGCTCTACACCTTGTTATCTCAGATTCTCCAGCACCGGCAGTTCCTACTATCTCCTAATGTGAACCGCTCAGTTTTCCTAGCACTAGTCCAAATGCAAACGTAAATTCAAAAGGACTGTTACCCATGAAATTGCATCTAGGAAATTAGTGAACGAATATTTGTGCTTCTATGAAATACCTCACTTTCAGCATAACTGCTAAGCTACTGTTAAAACAAACAAGTTAGGCCTCAAATAAAATTTCAGTGGCAAAAATGTAAGCAGTCATATGCTAATTTCCTAGACTGTGATTTCACAGCTGACGTCATTTAATAGCTCATGCTGTCAGCCCAGTTCAGATAATTTAAGAAATTTAATTTCAAATGATCTTCACTGAAATTTCTTCTAAATTCGAATGCATACATTGAACATAAGATAGCGCTGAAAATTCTGTCATATGTCTATATGTTGTCCGGGCTGGTGCTGAGCCAGTTAAGCATTTCAAATTACTAACCCCCAACTTATTCAGAATTTTTGCAAGAGTCTCAGGATGATGAGATGCAGATGTATACACTCCAGTGATATCACAGCATGAATGAAAACATACACTGCAAGATTCAATTAATCACATAAACGATATGATAATTTGGGTCAGGAGACAGAGCATGTGAAGCAGTCTGTTAATGAAACAGCAGTGTTAGATTGAAAAAGAAAAAATGTTAAGTACAAAAATAATGACAGATACATTACAGATCAACAAATGAGCTGCAAAGAGACAGGTTAATCTTTGGGTGTTTTCACAAAGATTTTAAACAATGGCATTTGTCAATTTTAACAATAAAATCCTAAAGCTTTAGTAAAAGTTTTGGTGGCCTCAATGATGGAGCAGATAGACAGCATATCTAAAAGGATTGCACTTACATGATTTATGTGGTTACTTTTCCTCTTCTCTCTCACTGTTTAAAAGAAAAGAAATACATTTAAAACATGTCAGCAAACTAACGCAAATGGCTATTACTTTTTGAGCCAAACTTTCGACTTTTAACGTGGCGTTCCCTCTGGTTAACCACCCACCCTACTGGCATGCAATTGGCTGTCTTGACTTCTCTACTCTCCTCACCCAACGAACCCGTCTTCTGCTGAAGCTGCTGTATTCTATTCTCTCAGATCTGACCCTGACCTTGGCACCAAAACTGCTGTTAAGAGTGACACCTACCGTACTGACTTCTACATTCAGGTGTTGAGCACCTACTCTCAGGCACTTGTCATCAGTGCTTGGGCCACGACCCCATTGCTGAACATCACGCTGTCAGTTCCCTGCCTATCACTTATCTCATCACCTCTGGATTTCACCCCTGCGCAGCTTCCTACTTTATAGTCCCCCAAACCAGAACAGCCCACTCAATTCCTTCCCAAAATTGACAAAGACCCTGGAATAAACCACCATTTCAGCCTGTTCTTACCTTACTGTACTTATTTTCTCTCCCGTATCAAATCTCTCCCAACCTATAATCTTGAATCTCCAGACGTGCTACAACATTATAACAATTTCCAGGGTCCTAGTGCTGACCTCCACCTCTATCATGGACTTCCAATTCCTCTACACTTCTAATCCCATCAGAACAATCTGAGGGCTCGCTGCTTCTTCCTTGAACTAAGGTACAGACAGTCCCCATCCACTACTATCCTCCTCTTGGTTAAGATAGTTCTCTAATGGAACAATTGCTCCTTTAACTTGTCTTGCTTCCTCCAAATAAAAGATGTGGCTACAGCTAGTCTATTTGTTCGGTGTGTAAAACATTTATTGTTCCAGTCTTACTCGGGCTTCATCTACAACAATACATCAATGAATTGTGATGATACAGTGGCTTTAAGAGGTGTGTTTTGTCCTGGTTTCTTTTCCAGAGAAACTGGGGGACATGTGGCGATCAGTCTATGAGAAGATAAACAACTTGTGAAGCCTTGGGTTTTTTTTTTTTTTAAAAAGCTGAACAATGGAAGCAGCTTGACAGGTGTGGTCAAGCTCCTACCCACAGAACCAGAGATTTTTAGATTAGCTTTCAGCAGTTGTTGCTGTGGTCTTAGCAGGATTGGACAGCAGTGAATCTCTCCTGGCTGCTACACTCCCTCTCAGAATTGTCTTTTCACGTTCTTTCCTCCTGAATTGGAGGGTGGCATGGTGGCTCAGTGGTTGACACTGCTGCCTCACAGTGCAGGGACCCGGGTTCAATTCTAGCCTCTGGCGGCTGTCTTTGTGGAGTTTGCACATTCTCCCTGTGTCTGCGTGGGTCTCCTCTGGGTGCTCTGGTTTCCTCCCACAACCCAAAGATGTGCAGTTTAGGTGGATTGGCAATGCAAAAGTGCCCATAGTGTTTAGGGTTGTGTAGGTTAGGCAGAGTAGCCATTACATTAGGGTTTCAGGGATACTGTGGCGAGTCTGGGTGGGATGCTCTTTGGAGAGTCTGTGTGGATGTGTTGGGCTGAATGGTCTGTTTCCACACTGTAGGGATTCTAGTTAAAAAGAAATGCATGTGAAACAACTGGTTTTCTGAATTTGCCTTTTGCCAAGGATGTGTTTATGGGATGTTATTACAGTGGAAAAGTTACTGTTCAGTAGTAAAGTAACGCTATTGGAAAACTTAACAGCATAATAGATTAAATTATTCCAAGTTCCTCTTTCTTTTGCTGTATTTTAACTACAGCGTTTGAATAATTTGTGTTTTGCTTAGTAAGTAGTTTGATCAATTGATTTGCATCTGGAACACGGCATCTCACATTTACCTTTAAAATAAGAAAACGTTAGGGTCTAGGCTACCTTCTTAATATATTTTGAGGGGGTCTGTATTCAGAATGTATCCAGACTGCGTCCAGCTTGAACTGGAAAAATTAGCCATTTTACTTCCAACTTTCACCTTTCACTTACTTTAACCTGGTGCATCTCATATTCTTCCCTTCCCTTCCTTGACTTCTCAGTTTCTACTTCTAGGGGATAGGTGTCTATGAATATTTATTACAAACCAGACTCCACAGATACCTCAAATCCTTACACCCACTTTCCTTTTAGAACTACATTCTATTTGCTTTCTTTCTGTCTCTGTCATGCCTGTTCCCAAATAGACCACCTTCCCTGACAGTGGCTCTATTTTTCCTCTACAAGGCCCTCAGCCACATCCGACACACTTCTGTTATCACTCTTTCCCTTCCCCTCGCTTTCAAAATTATGGTAGGATTCTCCTGATTCCTGCTTTCCACCCCACTGGTCTTGCACTTAAAGGATGATTCTCCAACTTTTACAGACTTACAGCACGATGTCACCACGAAACAACTCTTTCCTCCTGTCCCCATCAATGAAGGGGCTGTTCCCTCCGCAACATCCTGGTCAATTCTTCTAACTCCAAACATCTTAACTCCCGCCTACACCATTTGCCCCCATAAACACAGAAGGTATAACATCTGTATTTTTAGTCATTCAAGGCCTCAAAAACTCCATCCAGGTGAATTAACAATTTACTTGTATTTATTTTAATATAGTCCATTAGATGTGCTGCTCACAGTGCCGTTGCCACTCTGCTGAGAGAAAACGCAGACTGGGTGCCGCTTTAGTGGAACGTCTCCACTCTATCCACATGCATAACTCCCTTCTGACATTTTAATGCATCATTTGCTCTCATTCTCACAATTCTATCTTGGACCTGCTTCACTGAAGCCCAGCAAAAGCTAGTGGTTCAATTTCCCATAAGTTACTTTACAGCTTCTGGACTCAACATTTAGTTCAATAATTTGAGATCATGAACACTGTTCTCCATTTTGATATTTTCTGTCTCAGTGTCTGTATCTTATCATGTTTTTATTCTGCTATTAACACTCTCTCTCTTATATGATTACTACTTCCTTTGCCTTTTGTTCCAACTCCTTTGACCTCTAACCTCCCTTGCCCTTTGGGGTTTTTCTAGCACTTTGATTTTACTTCAAATTAAAGCATCAATGAGTGTGTTTACTGAGACGATTGCCAGCACCTATCATTCAATTTACAGCCTCCACTGACCAAAGCAGAAGACAAGCACTTATAACATTTATTGGCAGAATGGCATAGAGCTGAGGACCACTATCATGTCTTGATGGCATGCTTTGCTATCCAAGCGTACCTGATAGAAACTGGTGTTGATACCATAATCATTACTTTTGGAAGGGTAAAAGCTTCAAAGATGTTTTGAGGGATATAGGCCAGCAGCAGGCAAATGGGACTAGTTTAGTTTGAAATTATGTTTGGCATAGACTGGCTGGACCGAAGGGTCTGTTTCTATACTGTGACTGTATGTTTCTATGGTTTAGCGCCTATAGGCATTGCATTGTTTTGATTCTTCATTGCTTTGATAAAATGCACTTAAAAACTGAATAAAGTTAAACTTTTCATGAAGACAACAAGCATTTTTTTTAAAATCTGAACAATAGACAACACTGCTTTTCAGAGCTGCACAAACACCAGATCTTCAGAATGCAGAAGTGGCGGGTTGCTGTATTGTTGGAGATGCCAACTTTTGAATGACACATCAAACCAAGGTTCCATCCGCCCTCATGTGGGCCGAAAAGATTGCTCAACACCATTTTGAAGTTGAGAAGGGGAGTTCACCACAATATCCTGGGTAACATTTAGCCTTCAAGGAACATGACTATCACAGATTATCTGATTTGCATCACAACTCTGTCTGTGTAATCCAGTTTACAATCTGGCTGCTACATTTCCAATATTACAGCAGGAAGCACTCTTCAAAAGTACCACAATGTTTGCAGAACATTGAGGTTATGAAAGGAATAGTGCAACTGCAAGTCATTTTTTCATTTTAGTGATGCTATCAGTCCACTTAGAACATACGGAGGGCTGAACCATCATGGATCTTAAAGATATAAATTAATTTGCCTGGTCAAAGGTACAATCCAATATGGAGGATAACTTAAAACACAATTTACAAGTAAACTGTCCTCAAAGACCAATGGCTTCCAAACTATGGTATGAATATCCCTGGGACATGAGAGATATCACTGCAGGATAAGCAGAAGTTGTCTAATAGCGGATTTAAGATCAGATTTAAACTTGTAGATTATTCTTAAAATGCATTAATTCGTCTCTGTGACTGCATGGATTTGTTAAGAGAAAAAAAAACTGTAGTGGATATGTTTGCTTTGCCTGCTGGATATTTCCTAAATGCAAGGGCATGTGGTACAGCATTGGGATGGGTGGCTGGTTTGTGCTGGGGGAGCAGCTGTGCATCAGAAATTCCTCGGTTTGCTCTGGGTTTCTTGATTAGGTCGTAGTTTTCCAAAGAAATCCCTACCTCTTCTAAACAACCCAGCAATCATAGAAACAGGCCCTTCAACCCAAGTCACCCATGTTGACTAGGTTTCCTAAATTGAATTAGTCCCACATGCCTGCATTTGGTCCATCTCCCTCTAAACCTTTCCTGTCCATGTACCCGTCCAAAATGTCTTTTAAAGGTTGGAATATTACTTGCCTCAACCACTACTGCACAACATCATCTACATTTACCCAGCATTTTGTCTGGAGAAGCAAGTCAAGTCACTGGCCTCCTGGTTTCCTTGCAGTGTCAGATCGTAACAATCTAGGCAAGAAATTCAGAGCTCCCAGCTCTGAAAAAAAGTTTAACTTACAATCTCAATGAATCAGAAAGTCTACAGAACATTTAAGTGAAACTCCATGAATGAAACATCACTTTTTTTTATATAAACGGATGCATCACGGACCAATGTTGAGATGAGTGCGGCGAGGGAAAATCAAACACGAATGATTCGGCTGAAGATGCAACAAAATATTTAAGCAAAAGCTTTTGTACACATATCACTTGTAATGTGAAGAAACATGCCCCATGGGAGTTCACAATGGAAGCCGCCAAGGAAAGGCTGTGTGAGTCATGAAGAAACAGACAAATAAGGCATGATAAAAAAAGCATTTTTATATGCCAGGTTTGTGAGGACCTTTAAAAGAGCAGAGACTGGCAGTCACACAAGAGGGGTTAGAGGGCCAGTGAAATCAATGTCATCAAAAGGATGCAGCGCTGGTGAATCAGAACAAGAGCTGTAGTTGAAGGAAAAAGGAATCAGATTCAAAGGATTAAAGGACGCTATGGACATCTTGTAGGATGCTGTAAAGCTGCAGCAAGATGATGAGGAATTCGTTAAAATCAAGTAATTTAAATTTAATATTTCATGGGACAGCAGCCACTGTAGATCAATAATGGGTAAACTGGACTTTGGGTAGAAAAGGATTTTGTTGCTTTTGACCAACAGGATTTTTTGGAGGACAGAAAGGCATCAGAATGGTCAAGCTGAAAGAACGGTTCAGGCAAGAGTTTTGTGGGCAGAGGGGTCACAGTTTTGCACAAGTGGAAATAGATGGTATCAACTCTCAGGAAGTGAACTATTTAAAGTTGCCACTTTAACTCTTCCCAAAGCATGCACAAAGTGATAGCAGATGGAGATCATTCCCATAGTGAAGTCACTGGCAACAAACAGCTGTGACTGTAAGATGTTAGTGGAGAGGTAGGCACAGAAGGCTAACAAAGGGGTGCACACTTAGGACGGAGTTGAGGAGGAACATCTTCACCCAAAGGGTTGTGAATCTATAGAATTCCTTGTCCAGTGAAGCAGTTGAGGCTACCTTGTTGAATGTTTTTACGGCAAAGATAGATTTTTGAACAGTAAAGGAATTAAGGGTTATGGTGAGTTGGGAGGGGGTGCTGGGTAAGTAGAGCTGAGTCCACGAAAAGATCAGCCATGATTTTATTGAGTGACAGAGCAGACCTGATGAGTCAGATCGCCTACTCCTGCTCCTTTTTCTTATTTTTAAAAGTATTGTTCACCCAAATGTGGAATGCACAAAACCTCATGTTCTGAGCTACATAAGACTTAGGCTAGCACCTTACACTCGCCCCTCACATTAATAATGAGTAGTACTGTTACAGGCACTGAGCAAGTTACAAATATGCTTTGAATTTATGTATTTTAAACAATATTTGGGCAACACAGGTGTTGAAAATATTTAAAATATCTGATGGTTGAGATATGGTGGCAGTTATGAAGTCTGGAAAATATATACAAATCGATTAGGGACCTCTGCCCTGGGCTAATCTGCTTCAAAAAATACCTTTAAAAATTAAAAACTCCCTCAATTTGATTGAGTTATTAAAATATCAATTTTAAGAATTTCTTTACCTTCAGAGTTGTTGGTCATCATGACCCCCAGGTTGCTGATATATTGGCACCTGCGGTCCTAGTCATATCCTTATGGATGACAGACAGCTCTAAAGGTAAATAAGCAAAAATAACCTTCACATTATATCCCAGCAATCAATAGGGAACAAAGGGGTTAACCCCCTTCTGCGACCTTTGCCAAGTAATTTTGGGAAGTGCAGTACTTCAATGGAAAAGAGCTGCATGGAAAAGGATGAAGGAAGATCAATGAAACCGCCCACTACTGAGTTAAAGGCAACATATTCATTCATGCATGTTAGAAATCTTTAGGAAATTAGCAGTCTAAAAGGTAATGCTTCTTATCATGTAGAAGTTTTAATGTTGGTGAATGAGTATTATGCATAGTAGTTTCTCTGGTTAGAAAATAAATCACAATATATTTCTTTTGGGAATAGGATAATTGCTCCACAGTGGAAACTGTAGAGAGCTATTGTAATGGCAACCATGAAGCATCCCTGGATATCAATAAATGCAGAACATTACTCTGCTAGATAATGGACAATAGAGTCATAGAGTCACATAGCACGGAAACAGACCCTTTGGTCCAACCAGTCCATGCCAAACATAATCCAAACCAAACTAGCCCCACTTGCCTGCTCCTAACTCAAATCCCTCCAAATCGTTCCTATTCCTTTTAATGTCTTTTAAATGTTGTAATTGTATCCACGTCCACCACTTCCTCAGGAAGTTCATTCCACACACTAACTACCCTGTGTAAAAAAATTGCTCCTCATGTATTTTTAAACCTCTCTCCACTTGCCTTAAAAATGTGCCCCCTACTCTCGAAATCGCCCATCCTAGGTAAAAAGACAGCTACCATTAACTTTATGTATACCCCTCATTATTTTATAAACTTCTATAAGGTTGCCTCTCAACCTCCTATGCTCCAGTGAAAAAAAGTCCCAGCCTATCCAGCCTTTCTTTCTAACTGAAATCTTCCATACCAAGCAATAGCCTGTTAAATCTCTTCTCAAACCCCTTCAGCTTAATAACATTCTTCCTATAACAGGGCGACCAGAGCTGGACACAGTATTCCAGAAGAGGCCTCACCAACGTCTTGCATAACCTCAACATGACTTCCCAACTCCTATACTCAAAGGACTGAGCAGTGAAGGCAAGCATGCCTTCTTAATCACCTTCTCTATATATGACGGAAACTTCAAAGAATGGTGTAGCCGCACCCCGAGGTCCCTCTGTTCTACAACACTACCCAAGGCCGTACCATTAATTGTATAATCCCTACCCTTGACTGTTGTGCCAAAATGCAACACCTTGCATTTATCCAGATTGAACTCTGTCTGCCATCTTTCAGCCCATTGACCCATTTGAAAAAGATCCCTTTGTAATCTTAGAAAACCTTCTTCACTGTCCATTAATTGGTGTCGTCCGCAAACTTACTAACCATGCCTTCTATATTCTCATCCAAATCATTTATATAAATGACACACGTGGATATCCTGATATTAATGTGGTTCATACATACTTACTGTTAAGAGGTTTCTTGCGATTTAGTGACAGTGTCTCTACCTCTGGGCCAGGAGGCGTGCGTTCAAGTCCCATCTGCTCCAGAGATGTGTAATAATATGTTTGATCAGTCTGTTCAGAGATATATCTATACTCACCATCTGGTTGGGACTTGCTCAGGAAGATGGTGCTGGCTCTTGGGTGGTCAGATGGGTTTGATTCTAAGTTCATATCTAGAAAAAGGAGACAGAGGAAAAGATAACAACTGCATCTAATGTTACAACAACTGAACAGCTTTGACAAAATTCTAAATTTAAAGAAAATATTTCTGCTTGTAGACAAGACCAAAACTTGGGGTAACGATAATAAGGATGTCATACTTTTAGATGAAGTAGAGGTGGGAAGAGACTCATATGGAGCATAAACAAATAGTACAAGGCTGAATGATCTGCTTCTGTGCTGTAAATGGTAAATTTCCACGCACATTTTTCTCTTGCCTTATTTCCTGTCAATCTCCCGACACTCCCATCTCACAGCTCTCAGTAAATGGTCACACTTTGTGTCCCACAGCCAATCGGTTGCACAGGAATATTGGGAAGACTGAAGTCATTGTTTTCATACCTCACTTCAAAATACTACTTCCTAGAAAACAATTTTATCTTGCTCCCTGGCAACAGTCTTAAGCTGAACCAGACTTTTTGTAAGCATGGTGTCATACTTGATGCCAAGATGAGCTGCTAATCGTTTACCATGTCATCACCAAGACCACCACGTTTAACCTTCATAACACCATCCTGACTCTGTCCCTTAGCTCAACTGTTGCTGAAACCCTCATTTCTGCTTTTGTTACCTATAGACTTAAGTATTCCAATACACTCTGCAACAAGCTTCAAAATTCTAACCTCAGGGAACCTGAGGTCACCCAAAATTCTGCTGTCCAGGTTCTTGCTAACACAAAGACCTATTTGTCTTTCACTCCTGCACTCACTAACCTACAGTGGCTTCTGGTTAAGCAGGGCTAGAAAACATGGATCTGCAAGAGGGCAGATCTGGACTGTGCAGAGATCTAACAGGATGCTACGGCAATAATTTGACTAATCATTCATACGTAGCATTGCTGAAATTGCAAAGCAACGACTGATGGGCACAAAATACTTATGAGATGACAGAGAAAAAAAATTGAAATTTTCACCCCCACCCACCCCTCCCCTAGTTAGTGCAAACTTTAAGTCAATTAGACTTTAGCAGAAGAAAAGTGAGTTCGACTCACTCATCATTGATTTAACAGGTCACTTTAAAGGATTTCTAGGCATCACTTTTCTTTCGATAAAGAAACAGCATTTGCCAAAGTCAGACCTACTTCCCTTAAGATACACAAGTTATTAATTTTCTTGTGGTCCGTCTATCCAGAGAACTAGTCACTTAAAATAATCAGGATACATTGGAGCCTAACACTATACTTCTTAATTATTTCAAGATATTAACACATGAACAGCATCTGAGCTGCTGCACAAACAAAAATGGCAAACATTTATCTTTGTTTATTCATCAGTTGGGGCGACACAGTGGCTCAGTGGTTAGCACTGCTGCCTCACGGTGCCAGGGACCCAAGTTCGATTCCACCCTTGGGCAACTGTGTAGGGTTTACACATTCTCCCCGTGTCTACTTGGGTTTCCTCCAGGTGCTCTGGTTTCCTACCACAGTACAAAGATGTGCAGGTTAGGTGGATTGGCCATGCTAAATTGCCCAGTGTTCAGGGATGTGTAGTTTAGGTGGGTCATAAGGGGATGGGTCTGGGTGGGATGCTCCAAGGGTCAGTATGGATTTGTTGGGCCGAAAGGCCTGTTTCCTACTGTAGGGGTTTTATGTTCAATATCCATAATTGGCTAATAGGTATAAGCATGAGTTTCTGATTTGTTACAAGCAAACTTATTTGCGAACAAAGCTTTTTTAACAAGATAAAATTAAACATTCTTCCCTTTCTTTTCCTGTAACAATGATTCATCCCACATCAGCACAGGTTCACTATAAGAACTCAGTAAGAGTTTTGGAAGGACTTCTGGACTCTTTCCTATGCCCCTTCTTTAATTTAGTTAACACTACATTTCAAAGGATTTGATGCTGTCATGGTCAAGTCAAGCATTTCATGCAATCTACTGATTTGGACTACTCCAATGGATTTTTAAATGCATAGGCACAATTTGAAAATAGGAGAAAACAACCATTCCCATCTGGTAATCATCTAACCACATACTAAAGAGGAAATATATGATTTTGCCCGCCAGCCACAAAACACAATTAGGAACAGATGTAGACCTTTTAGCCTCAGACGGCCAGTGCAGACATAATGGACTGAATGGCATTCTTCCGCATTGTAACAATTCTGTGAGCAAGTCCATACTGCTACTTAAGTGACTGATTTGTACGTGACTACTGTACACATTTAACAACAACAGGATACAATATCCCGAGGTGGTTTGTTCAAAGGAAGGGGCATTAATGAAATACCGTTTGATGCAAAACTACATAAGGAAATATTTTGTCAGATGACCAGAAGCTTGGTGAAAGAGCTGGTTTTAAAGAGTGTCATAAAGGAGGAAAACTGGGTCAAGATTTGGGGAGGTGTAGTGAGTGAATCCAGTGCTGGAAGCCTTGGGAACTGAAGGCACAGCCACGTAATGGTGGAATGTTTAAATCAGGGAGGCTCAAGAGGCCAGAATTAGAGAAACACACATTTCTGAGTGTTGTTGCTGGAGATTACAGAGATGGGGTGGATCATAGAACAGGTTTTCGCAATGACCTAATGGATTGACTTGATCTGACCTAAAGTACAAGCTGTAAATTAAAAGTCAATGAATTAACCACAAAGATCAAAATTCAAATATTCCAGCTCAAAAGACAAAACATCATTTTGACTTCATCACATACAAAGTATAGCACATGCATGTCACTTCTACAGTGGGATACCATCATTGATTTCACTAGACTCAAGTTACTGAAAATGGTACTTTTAAATCTGCTTAAATTACTTGCAGCCTTTCTAATGAGGAGTAGGTAATCAGCCTTCTGAAGGCGATCACATTCTAATTTTAATAAAGAGTGAAAGAGAGAAGTTTTTAAAACTATATCCACTTGAATCATGTAAAACATTGAACATTCCAAGAGATGTTACTTTTCTCTCAATTTGGGAATTTTGATTGGGTTTCAAAAAAAACATTGGAGCTACACACCACTATGATAAAATAGTGGATGATCAGAGTAATTAATGAAGGGAGACTATCTCAGTATCAAAATGTTTATTGGGGAAATATGACATGTTCAAAATCATAAGCTGATTAAGACCCCAAAACACAAACAACAAACGCAGTTTTAAAAACAGGCTTAACAGAAACCCAAACTATACTTCAAGATGACTCTTCAAAGTTTCTGCTGTCTGCAATGGTGATGAGGAATGGACCATTCTTGATGATATAACTAAGATTAGTATTTTGTTGTAAAGAGATATGGAGCAATCACATTATGAATACGAACACTTAAAGCAGAAACAGACTATTTTGCCCCTTGAGCCTGCTCCACCATTCAATACGATATGCTTTAAATTCTGCATTCACATCTATCCCTGATCATCTTTGATGCCTGCTGAACAAGTATCTAACTCAGCCTTAAATATATTCAGTGGCAACCCACCTCTGCCTCCGAGGCAGACAGCTCTGAAGACACACAACCCTCTGAGAGAAATAAAGTTGTCCTCATCTGCCCTAAAAGGATGACCCCCGATTTTAAAAATCAGTGCCCCCTAGTTATGGCTGACAAGAGAAAACATCCTTTTCACGTCCAACTTGTCAAGGCCTTTCAGCATCTTATATACTTCAATTAAGTCACCCCTCACCATTCTAGATTTAAGTTGAAACAAGCCCAACCTGTGCTCATTAGACAACCCACTCACCTTCCCAACTTAACAGAACATGTTAAACATCATCTGAGATTTTCCCCAGCACAGCTCCACTGCAATGACTTCAAGCAGAATCCAATTCATGTAGTTACATCAATTTACAATATCAACTTGCTCGATGCAGCAATTTTAATATCACAAAACACACCAGGCACTTCACAGCAGCATTATCAACAGTTAACACACTACGTGAGGAGGTACTGGGACAGTTCAAATGTTTAGTCATCGGTTTTAGATTTTAAGGAGCAACTTAAAAGGAGATAGATTTGGAGAGGTTCAGGAGCCCGGAGTGGTACAGGTGATACAGCTCCAGCCTCTGAACTGAAAGGCCCCCGGATTTGAGCTCCACTCTAGCCATTCATACCCTCGGTAGAACTCAGCTACGGGTTCAGACAAGCCAAAGAATGTCAGTGCTGGTCTCTAGACAGGTTATTTGGAGAGAGCTGGTGGCAGAAAGGTAAGTACCTGAACTACCAAATCAAAAGAAAAGGATGATCAATCAACATTTCAACAGTCCTACGTAAGGTGGGAAATAGCCAAGAAACAGAGTTGGAAAGGCTGAGAGGAAATTCAGACCTTGGTGCCAGGCTAAGGCATACCCACCATTGGTGCATCGGTAAAAAGTAGGGATGCACAAGCAGTTAAAAACTTTAGCTTCATAAACAAATAAATCAAAGCAATTTATTTTCCCACTTGAGAGTCGGAGTATTTTAATTTACCAAGTAATGCTGGTCCGGTGTCACCAAGAAGGCACACTTCATCTTTTACTTCAACATCACAGTCATTCAACAAGTATTTATGGTATAATTCTACTTAATGATGGTATGCGCCGATGCTCCAGTAGAATCCTTTACAACATGTGACCATATAAGTTTTACAACCTGAAATTGGAAGCTTCAAAAACATCCCCAACCTCAGCAATGGCGAAAGACAAGGCTGAAGCATTTGCAACCTTCCTCAGTTAGGAGTGATGAGTAGGTGAACCATCTCGGCCTCTTCCGGAGGTCCCCAGTGTCACAGATGCCAATCTGCAGCCAATTCAATTCACATCTCTTGATTTCAAAAAACAGCTAAAGGCACTGGATAATAAAAAGGCAATGGGCACTGACAACTGCATTGCTGAATGACTTTGCTCCATGGCTCAGGATTTCCTTCGCCAAGCTGTTCCTGAACAGCTACAATGGAATTAATATGACAGTGTGGGAACTTGTCCAGTCCACTAAAAAGGGCAAATCCAATCTGGTCAACTAATGACCCATCCGTCTGCTCTCAATTACGAA